GAAAACAAGAAATTTAAATCTCAAGTTATACATGAGCATTTTTATGAAGTATTGTGGATGATCAATAAATCACCTTCCCGACTTAGAAAAAAATTGCTAGGACAAAACTTTGCTGAGAAGTAAAATGGACAAATAAGTTCAAGGAGAAAAAAAAGAGTACTGTAAAATTCCTAATGTTATATTAGTGTTTGTACATTTTTAAGACACTGGATGAAGAATATTACATTGTTACAATATTTAAGAGTTTCCTGGATAAATCTAAAGAGGTTATAGAATTATTTTATTTGCAAATGTAAATATGATTTGCCAAAAAGTATTTCCAACTATATTACAATTTTTAAAATAATAGCCTTATTAAGATATAATTTACTGCTGGAAATTGTGGCACACACTTGTAATCCTAGCTGAGGCAGGAAGATCACCATTAATTCAAGGGCAGCCTAGGATACACAGTGAGTTCAAGACCAACCCCAACTACGTAAAGAGACTACCTCGAAAAAACTAAAAATATTAAATAAATAAAATTTTAAAAATAGTTTATTTAAAGTTTGCTCTATTTTTTTTTAAGTATTGGAGATTGATCCCAGGGACTTCACACTGAGTTACATCTCTGGTCCTTTTTATTTTTTATTTTGAGACAGAATTTTACTACTGAATTGCCCAGGGTAGGCTTGAACTTGCAAGCCTGCTGCCTCCATCATTCAGAGTACTGGGATTACAGGCAAGTGCCACCATACTTGGTTTAAAGTTTACTCCCCACCCCCCTTTTTCTTTTTATTGGTACCGGGATTGAACTCAGGATCGCCTGCTTACAAGGCAGGGGCTTATGCCGCTGAGCTAAATCCCCAGCCCCAAAGTTTACTTTTTTAAAGTACTCAGTTTAGTAGTTTTTATTTTTATTTTTTGGTACTGGGACTCAAACTCAGGACCTTGCGCTTTCCAGGCAGGTGCTTATGCCACTGGGCTATATGCCCGGCAGTTTAGTAGGTTTTTTTGTTGTTGTTGTTGTTTTGGGGGTTTTTTGGTCTTTTTGAGACAGAGTCTTGCTATGCAGTTCAGACTGGCCTTGAGCTCACTTTGTAGCTCAGGTTGGTCTCAAACTTGTTAATGATCCTCTTGCATCAGCCTCCCGAGTGCTGGGATTACAGGCATGAGCCACCAAGCCTGGCTAGTTTAGTAGTTCTTAGGGCACTCACAGAATTGTGGATCTATTACTACTATCCAATTCCAGAACATTTTCAGCATGTTGGCTTGGTCTACAGGGTGCCAGCTCCAATGTCTTCTGGTCCACTCCAACATGGACCACCCATGGGACCTGGGTGTGGAGAAGTGGGGAGGAAGGAAGGTAGCTTCGGAGGCAGCATTACAAAGCCAGTGGCTGCCAGGCACCTGAGCCAGTGTTTCGCCTCCAGAGCCTGTGTGATGTATGAGGATCCCAGGATGCGGGAGTCTGGGGACTTGCTAGTAACCCCACCCTCCGTCAGCCCCTGGCTGGGGCAGTCCTACTCATTCTCAGGAGTGTGGGCCCAACTGGCTTAGGGCACGTCTTGTTCCCACTGTGTCTCAGTGTACACTGTGTCTCAGTGTAGCTGGCACTGGCTGGACCAGGAGGTCTCCTCCACTGGAGGCTCCGGACCCCAGGGACCACTGACTCGTCCAGCACAGGTGCACAGTGTCTGCCTCTCGGTCACTTTCCTTCACTGGTTCACAAAGTCACAGTTGCCTCCCAGCTATGGAAATACCACGTCACCCCCTCTCTCATCATGACTCACTCTGGGCCTTGCAGTCCCATGTCATAACAGAAGATTTTCAGCAAAGCAATCAAAATCAGAGTCTTACAAGGCTCTGAGTTCTGCCTTCGCATTCCTGTATGAGGTGTGATTGCACTCACAAAACATGTTTAAATTTTAAAAATGTACTGATATAAAAATCACTGTCAATACACTCCCCCTCACTTCAAATACACTTATCTCATTGCTTTTGCTGCTTTCTGAAGTGGCTCAGGAATTCTGTTTCATGAGTGTCTTTTTGAGGTCTGACCAAAAAAATAGTAAACGTCGCTGCCAAGTGCCGTCCACGGAAAGGCAGGCTCGTTAAAACTTCACAGTGAGTCCTCATCTCCTTATTTACTGGATCCTGCACTGTGCAACTTCTGCCTCTCCCCAAAGTCAAAATGACCATGAAAGGTAAATGCTTTGAATTGATTCAGGACATGGAGGCAGCCACAAAAGTGCAAGGAAAGGGCCAGGGATATGGCTCAGCAGCTTAAATGCCTGCATGATAAATGCAAGGTCATGAGTTCAATTCCTGATACAAAAAAAAAAAAAAAAAAAACCCACAACTAAAGACACTCATGAAGATGAAGGACACATAGATGACTATCACCCCACCCAGGGCTGGGCACAACTTCTCAGAGACACCACCTTCCTTTTCTCCTGGGACTCAGGAGGCTGCTCCCTCCTCTAGCACAAGCTCTGGACACATCCGCTGAAGTCACACTGCTTCTCTCTGTGGCTCCAACATCACTCCAAGCGCCACCCTGTGGGCAAAAGTCTTCCTCAAAACCACCTGTCCCCAGACTGCTGCCATGTACCACATGACCGTGCTTGCAGTCTCCCAGGCACACACATGACCCAGCACCATGCTGCGCCACCCAGGTGCTAAGCCCTGGGTGCTAAGCCCACCCAGCCTGCCTTCAGAGGGCCCGCTTGGACACTGCTCATCCTCCTACCCGCCCTCCTCAGGCAGCCACAGCATCTTAGCGGATGACCTCTGTCCCTCTAACCCTCCTGGTGTCTTCCATGTGGTTCCATCCTGGGCCCTGGATGGAACCTGCTCTTCCTGCTGAGAAGTTTCTGTCCTTCCTGCCTGCTACTCCTTCATTCCCCATCATTCACCCTGCACAACCGTGGCAGTCTTCACAAGGCCCGGATTGCTATGTTCCATTAAAAATAACGTGATGCCTGCTCCCTCCAGCCTCAAACCAGAGATTGGAACACAACTTTCACATCATCCAATCTAATGAGTGATCACTTATGCTGATTCTTCCTCCATGTCTTGATCCTCTAGATACTGCCTCCCCAGGCCACTGTCCTTTGGATCTAGATGGTCCTGCCTTTGTGTCCTATCTCTGCTGCATCCTAGTAGCATGGGCTTGGGGAAGTCATCCCGCTAGGCCTCACTTCTGTAGACCATACAGCAGGTTTGCTCACAGTGTCTAGCTCCCAAGATTGGTCTTGCAATGAAATATGTGTGTAAAATGCTTAGCATAGTACATGGCTCAAAGCAAGTCTCCAACAAATGTTACCCGCCATTCTTATTGGTCTTTCTATGTATTATTACTGTTAATGGGACAGGCCACACCTACCTGTGCTAAATCAGTCTCCCATGAAAACCAAGGACCAGGGTCAAGGCACAGCCCATGGTGGCCACAGAAGTATGGAATCTTCTGCAGTTACTGTGGGGACATCTGTCCCTGAGAGCAGCTGAGGATGGGAGAAAGCACCAAAACATGATAGCCCCGTAATCAGGCAGACACACAGCTTCTGGTCCTGCTCTCCTCACAGCAGGAGCTTCTAGGAGCCCAAGACAGAGCGTGGCATTCTGAATTCTAGACAGCAAAACTGAGTTCCTGTGAGAAGAAGGGGCTTGCCCAGCTGACAAGGATCTCCACACCTACTCTGCATCCAGCCCTGGGCTGGGTGCTGCCCACACAGCCAGTCAGATGAAGAATTTGGATCCAAACCCAGGTTTTTGCTGAATCATGCACCCACAGGCAAATCACATTTACACTTCCATGTGCTTCCAAAAAAGAGACAACCAAAATTTTGTATTCCCCCAAACCACTGCAAGAAAGCCTACCATCAAAGGCTGGAAAGCAAACCTCCCAGCAATCTCTGGAGAAGACCCCAACAAAGAGAGAGTGAATTCCCAGACACACAAGCTTCAGGACACACATGCGCCCACATTTGCTTGCATTCACCCCATGTTTGCCCTTTGAATGTACAAACAAACTGTCTGTGTGCCTAGCACCAAAGCAGAGATTGTGTAACGCAGCCCATAGTTCACACATATGCTTCTCTTCCTACTTCTCTTCAGCATCTACACTCTTTCAGTTTTAACAATCAGAAGCTGGGGAGAGAGAAACACCAAGAATGGATTGTCATTTTATAAAGTACGAAAGGCAAGCTTAATGAAGTAACAGAACCATCTACAGTGAACATACTGGACAGACTGTTCACCTCTACACCATAAAGTGGCAGTTAACAACAGGATAGACGTTTGTTCAGTCCCACACGGGAGAAGCATTTCTGTGTTTTAATTAGAAAAGTCTCCTTCAGAATGCTTTTTAACCTTCTATGGGTCATAACACTGTCGTGAATCTCCTGAAATCTGTGATAGAGAGGAACAAAATTGTAGAATCGCAGCCATGGAGACCTTTGTAATTCCTGAGCTACAGCTAAAGAAAACTTGCTTTAAGATGTTAGCTGTACAGAAAAGCAAAAGGGTTCCACTCAACTATCAGGCACAGCCCAGACCTGGCAACCTTTGGCAGGAGCGTGCTGCCTGCCAAACAAGCTGATTTTCAGTGTTTAAATCAAAGCATAAAGACTTGTAGGCAAGTGTGTGCCAATTAAAATAAAAATATTTTATCCACCCAATACTCTATCCAGATGACATCAACAACCAGGATTCCAAACGGTTCCATTGCAAAATCTTGGCACTGAACATACCTTACGCACACATGGTAAGGATCATCAGCCTCTCCTTACTTTTATGAGAAACTTCAGTACCTGGCACCACCCCCTGTTCAGGAAAAGTACATCCTTGCTCATGAAGGCACAGAAAACATCTAAGCAGTTAGGTGCAATTTAAACACCTGCAATTCATCATGATATCCTCTCTTAACTAAGGAAAGATTTAGCATTAACATAGTAGCAGTAACCTGAGAGCTTATCATAATACAATTTGCATTAGAAGAGGACTATCCCAAAACTTGCCTGCTGAATGAAGGGGCCATAATGCTTAATTCAGAAGACTTGGAATTCTGCTGGAAAATCAAATCTCTGCCTAGCAGGTTTCTTCCCTGGTGACCTCTGTGTGCTCCTACAGGCCACCCTGCTCCTTCTACGGCTAGGCTGTCTGCAGGACACCAAACCCGCGTGGTAACACAAGCTGCCTCGAACCACAAATAGCAACAGGCCTGCCAGGAGTTCAAGTCCAAATATAGACCTGACAAGAGCTGTCTTGCTATTTCTCACCACTCAAGTGTCACCAGGAGAAATCACATGCTGTGCTCTGCGTTTCTTCATTTAGGGTGGGACTGGAGACCTGGGGTTGGATGGCTGACTACATGGAGTGGGACAGTTTGCAGTAAGCCCAGCTCCATGGTATTCAGTGCAACTTCTTTCCCTCCCATCATTCCTTTGAAGTGTACCTTAAGTGGCAATTATTCTCTCTGAATCAAAATCAGTAGATCCTATGACTTTCTGAACAGCCTACTTGTATGTCTCTCTGATAATGGGGAGCAGGACCCTCAAGGGGTCCCTCTAGGTGCTTGTTGTCCTGTTCAAAGAATTGGACAAGAACTGCAAAGAACATAGAGATTTTATATTTAGTAAAAAAGGTAAAAGTAGGGAGAAAAAAGGAAAAAAGTATTCTGAAAACAAGGTGCTCTGCACCTTGAGGGCAGGCCAGTTAAAGAAAAGTCCATCCTGTAGCACTGCAGTGGGGTTTGAAAGGCTCACTCCAGGGTAATGGCCACTAGCTTTTTATAGATTTCCCGCCCCCTTGTGATGTCACTCTAGGCTGTCCTACCAAAACCTTGCTTGATCTCATGTCAGAAGAACTGAAGACAGTGATCTCTGATTGGTGTGTCTTAGGCACAGGGCTCAGCTGGTGTTCTGCGCAACTGTCCTGAATCTCTATGGCTGACAGTTCTCACTGATTGACAGGTCATGCTCAATTGCCCAGCTGCTTTGCCGTACCCTAATCTCACCTTGAAATCAGTCGCAACTTCAGTAAGTGAATGTGTATTAAATCTAGAAACCCAACACAATTTAGCTAATATTAAAATCTTTCTTTGGCTTGAGTCTCTCAAACAGGAAGTCTGTCCTGTGGGAGGAAGCACCAAGCAGGCCTCTGCTCTTCACACTCCAAGAGGCCAGGGCAGGAGCTGAAGGTGCTAAGCTGCTCCTAAAGCGACAGTGTCACAATGGTTGCTGGCTCTCAGGGCCAGACAAATGCTTAGATCCTCTCTCTTTCTCATGTGGAGCATGTATTCATCTCTAGACTAGAGTCTCATCGTTGAGGTATATGGAAAGAGATTACAGTGAACTGGCTGCATGATTACTGAGGCCGACAAGGACCACATTAAGTAGTTAGCAAAGGCCCAGGAGATCAGACAGTTGTAGATCAGCAGCAAACAGAAACACTGAAATGTCACCCAGGATTTGGAGGCAGATATATTGAACATCAACAGGCACTGATAGGGATTCATTCCCAAAGTATCAGGACCTGAACAGTGGTGGGCTAGCATTCTTATAAGATCTGTAAGTGGGAAGTAGCTGTCTTTGAGTGGTCCTTATAATATGCATTACAGTGAGCAGCCATTTGTAGGGGACAGTAGTTACAGAACTGTAACAAGGACTGAAGTAAATTGGGTGTTACTTGAGCAACTAACAAACTTACTGGCAGCAAGGGCAGGGGCATTTTCTGCTACAGCTCCAGGCAAAGGCTGGCAAGCTCAACACTGAGAAGCCAATGTGTCACTGTGAGTGAAAGACAAAACCTGGTTTCCCAGTTTAGAGGAAAGCAAGCTGGCAGGAGGAAGTCTCTCTCAGCCTTTCTGAGCCTTTAGCGACTGGATGATGCCCAGCCACATCAGACAGCAATCTGACTTAATCTTCAGAGTAAAAAAAAAAAAAATTCTCACCATGTAACTCAGGGTGGCCTCAAAGTCGTGGTGATCCTTCTGTATCAGCTTAGGGAGTGCTGAGCTCACAGGCATGCACCCCCAGGCCAGTTTATAGAGTTAAATGTTAACTCATCCAGAACCATCTTCAGAGACACAGCCAAAATAATATTGGACCAAATATCTGGGCATCTCTGTGGCCCAGTTAAACTGAACCCATTAAAATTATCACACAAATACACATAGGTTTATGTTACCCCAAATTCATGTAATGCTTAATCCTTAGTGTGAGGTGTTTGCAAATGCGCCTTCCGAGAGATGCAGGTCATGAGGCAGGATGAGTGTCCTTCTGGAGGCTGCCGAGGGGGGCTCCTTTGTCCCTTCTTAGCCTATGAGAAATCAGTAAAGTTATCTACAAAGCAAGAAATAGCTCTCACTGGATGTAGAATCACTACAGTAGTACCTAGAATGGACTAAAACAAAATCATTCACAAATATTCATACAGACATTTGCATGCATGCATACAAATGAACACATACACACAATGGGGACAGTTTATCTTGAGTTATTTTTACTTTACTTTTGATAATGTCTGTTTTGTAATAATCATATTTATCTTTCTTTTAAAGTATTTCCTTTTTATCATAATAGTAATGTATGCCACTTGGCTTAGATGAATACACTATAAAAGAACTGTATGGCAAAAAAAAAAAAAAAACACAAACCAGCCATGCACCCTAGTATAAACACTGTTAGATTTGGTATGTATTTTTGGCTTTTTTTTTTTTTTTTGTATTTCTTTTCTAAGAAGACAAACTTATTCCTATCTTGCAAAATGAAAAATTATACTTTTATAATTAAAAGCTCTCCTAGTTTCATTTTGAAAAATCAAATTAAGTAGGAAACAACTACACAGGATAAAACAATATAAAGCAAATATAGTAAAAAAAAAAAGCTTATGGTGATGAATATGCAAAAAAGATTTAAAACAGATTATTGTATCATATTAAGTAGAATAATATATAAAAATACTTTGGGGAAAATAGATCACCTCAGCTAAAGGTGAGGAGCATGGGACAGAAAGGCCCAGAGGCCCTGTGCTCCTTGGGGCAAAGCAGTGTCCTCCTTAAGACCTGGTGTCCACACTCAGCCCACAGACCCCCCAGGAGAGCGCCAGGAGTAGGAAAGCAGCTGTAGCCTGTGGCATCCACAGAACGGAAGCCGCAGCTTCTCCCCCTTGCGTGGCTCCCAGAGATCCTCAATAAGGAACTGCTGTGCTGCACTGAATGTTTGACGTTCCCGGAATACATTGTCCGGGGCTGGGACCACGTCTTCGCTGGGTTCCTGATGACGGAAGACTGAGCCAACCGGGTCCCTGTTCTCAAGAAGTTCAGGGCTTAGTGCAGGGAACTAAAAATGCAACGCGTTCATTTAATAAATATTTCCTCACTCTGTGCAAAGGTGATGAAGGCGAGGTGCGAGGCGGCCCGGCGCCAGCGGGGCGGCTACGCGGACTGGTCTGTGATGACCGAGTTGGAAGCGAGTCACCACCCACTCCTGCTACCCGCGGCTGACCAAGGGGCGGTCCGCTACTGAGGACACCCTCGCCCTCCCAGTTTCGCTGTTTTCCAGGCTGGACTTCGTACTTGAGACTACGGTGCTGGAATTTACAGGCTTGGGCCACCCGGCTGGCTCCGAGAGGTTTGGTTGGCCAGCGCGGCCTCTTCCTGCTGTCATCCGCCCTGCCAATCGGCCGCCGGGGAGGGTGACGTGGGCCCGGCCAGCCGAGCGGCGTCAGGGCGGCCATGGAGGAAGAGCAGCCCGACAGCCTGGAGGGCTGGGTGCCGCTGCGCCGGGACCTGTTCGCGGCGCCCCAGCGGCGGCGCCTGCGCTTCCTGGTGGCTTGGAACGCGGCGGAGCGCCAGTTCGCGGTGACCTGCCATGACCGCTCGGCCACCGGCCGCGCGCCGGCCTGGGCCGAGGTGCTGTCGGCCGCGGGGCTGCGCGGCGCGCACCAGCAGCTGGTGGCGCTGGCCCCGGGCCTGGAGCGCCTCTTCCCGGCGCTGCCGCCCGAGCTGGCCGAGCCGCGCGGCCTGGGGAACGCGCTGTGGGCGCTCGTGTGGGGGGCGCGGCCTGCGGGCCCCGACGAGGCGGCGCTGCAGGAGCTGTGCGCGGGGCTGGAGCGCTACCTGGACGCGGCGGCCGACATCTGCGGCGGGGACACCGTGCGCGACGCGCTCTTCCCGCGACCTCTCGCGGGGGAAGACAGCGAGACCCTGGACGCCTTCCGGAGGAGCCAGCTGCGCGCGGACAAGGAGAAGAGCGGCGAGCAACTGAGGCAGGTGCGGGCGCGCGGAGGAGGGCGCGGAGCCGCGCGCGGGCGGCGGGGTTGCGGGGAGGCCCGCGCCTGGGAAATGCTACCGCGGACGCAAGGAAGCCGACCTCGGTTCTCCGGGGAAGATCGGGATGGAAACCGACAGGACGTCCTAGAGGCTTTCAAACTAAAGTGGTTTTAAAAACGTGGTTGTTAGTGAGGTGGGTCATTTGATGTGGGTTTGGTGTGTCGATGTTTCACACCCACTTCTGTCTTGATTTTCTTTACCGTATGAGACTACAGGGATTTAGGCTATCAACTTTTGAGTTCCTTGATTTTTTTTTTTTTAAATCAAACTTGGTTCTTGGTAATGATGTCACACAGAGAGAAATAGTTTCTCATTAAACTCCAACATTTATATATGGAGATATTGGAAAAGTTAGAGTTTTTCTAAATTGAAGTTCATTCAGAAAGTATTAAGCATGCGTTAGTGTAAAGCTCACACTACTGAACTGGCTGGTTACATCCTTTAATTCATCTGTTTGTTTGAAGCTCAGAAATGGGTGAAGAGTTTGAAATATAAAACATACTGTGTCCATGGAAGTGTATATAAGTTTAATACTCATTTAGAATAGGAGCGAAATTGACTTCGGAATTTGTATTTGCTAGAATGTATAAAATTAAGTGAATGTTTTGATTCTGGATTTTTTTTTCTGAATAGTTTAGGAAATAGGGCTGAAAAGTGACAGTTGCCTTTTTACTTTTGTGCCTGTGTGTTTTAATTTTGACCAGGGGACTTTTTCTCTCTTAAACACTCCTGTATTATTACCTGGACAAAGCCGTGTCTGACATTATATCAGTTCATCCTTTAGGAGAAGAATGGAAGTAGAAGACTTCAAGAATTTATTGGTTTTAAAAAGTCTATAACTTGATTTTATTTCTCTTTTAAAAATTAGTACGCGTTTGTGGTACAAGATGATCACACTTCTCATGGCGAGTTGGTACACGTTAACTTTTTATCCCCTTTTCCCTTCTTCTGTAACTCTATCTCTCAGTTCCCGTTCCATATGCAAAAGATCTATCTTCCTACTTCCTCTTACCTTTTATTTTGCTCTTTATTATTTTACTTGTATTGCTATTTATTTATATTTTGGATTTCTCATATAGAAGAATCCATGTGATATTTAAGCTTCTGTGTCAGATATATTTCACTTAACATTGTGATATCAAGGTGCATTCATTCTACAAATGACTCAAGTTTATCCTTCTTTATGGCTGAGTACTACTCCATTGCATGTAGCACCACATTTTTTTAAACCATTCATCTGTTGATAGACGTATAGACTGTTTTTATGATTTAGCTGTTATGAGTTGTACTACTATTAATATGGGTATGCATGTATCACTGTAAGACGATGACTTTAATCTTTTCAGAAAGATAACTAGAAGGGGAATAGCTGGGTCAAATGGAATTTCTATTTTTAGTTTTTTAGAACCCTCCATGTTGATTTCCACAGAGATTGTACTAGTTTAACATTCCCACCAACAATGGCGAAGGGGTTCTCATTCCGTACAGTACACTCACCAGTATTTGTTGTTATCTGATTTCTTGATGATAGCCATTCATTATGGAGTAAGATGGGATCTCAGTGTTGTTTTAATTTGTGTTTCTCTAATAGCTAAATGTGCTGAACATCTTTTCTTGTGTTTGTTGGCCATTTTTATTTATTTTTCTGAGAAGTGTCTGTTCATTTCAGCTGCCCAGTTTTTGATTGGATCTTTTATTTTGGGGGATCTAATATTGTTGAGTTGTTTACGCATTCTAGATATTAGTTCTGTGCTTCAAGAATAGCTGGCAGGGGCTGGTGATTTAGCTCAGTGGCGTAAGCACCTGCCTGGCAAGTGCGAGGTCATGAGTTTGATCCCCTCGATCCCCAATACAAAAAAAAAAAAAACTGCCAGAATTTTCCCCCATTTTATGTGTCATCTCTTTTCAATCTTAGTTGTTTCTTTTGCTGTGCATAAGCTTTGTAACTTGCTGTGATTCCATATGTTGATGGTTGCTGTTACTTCTTGTGCCATTGGGGTTTTGTTCAGAAATTCCTTGCCTCCACATATCTTTGAAGGTTTTACCTGTTTTATCTTCAATAATCCTTATTAAGGATTTCTATTTTAATATACAGATTTTGATTCATTTTGATTTTAGTTTAGAACATGGTGAGAGATACAGGTCTAGATTCAGTCTACATGTGGGTTATCCCAGCACCACTTGGTAAAGCGGTTGTCTTTCCTCTGTTGTAAGTTTTTGGTTCCTTTGTCAAAGATCAGGGATCTGAATGTGCTTGGAGTTGTTTCTGTATCCTTTAATTCTGTTCCGTTGATGCGCATGTCTGCTTTTTACCAACATTATGCTGTAGTTATCACTGTAGCTTTGTAGCATAACTTGAAGCCTGGGGTTGTGCTGCCTTGTCTTTTGTTGCTCAGGGTTGCTTTGATTATTCTAGGTCTGTCTTTGTTACTTTTCTTGCTGCTGAAACAAAATACCTTGACACCCAAGTTAAGGAAGAAAGGTTGTTTTAGCTAATAGTTTGTAGTTTCAGTCCAAAATCAGCTGGCTCCAAGACAGGGTGGCACATGGCAGAGGGGCAACAGTTCATGGTGGCGGAGATACCAAAAGCAACAGGAGCAAAAAAGAGGGTAAAGAAGCCTCTTTCTGCCCCTTTTATTGTATGCAGGCTACTTGCCCTGGGGCGGGTGTAGCACTCGCTCTCCCAGTCCCAGCACTAAACCATGAGCCAATCACAAACTCGAGATTCAGTCCTTGGAAAAACCCTCCCCTCCCCACAGGAGGCACATCCAGACAAACAGAACAAGGTCTCTTCTGGCTCCATATGATTTTAAGATTATTTTCTCTAGTTTTGTGAGGAATACTATTGATATTTTGATTTGGATTGCACTGAATCTGCATATCAATTTTGGAAATTGCCATTTTGAGTATATTTGTTTTGCCTATCCAGGAACAGGGGATATCTTTCCATTTTCAGATGCCCTTTTTAATCTTCTTCAGAGTGTTGTAGCTTTGTTGTAGAGCTCTTTCACTTCCTTGGTTAGGTTAATTCCTAGGCATTTAACTTTTTTTGATGCAATTGTGAAAGTTTTTTTTTCTCTTAATTTCTTTCTTGGAGAGTTTTATCACTGGTGTGTAAGAACGCTGTTAATTTTTGTGTGTGTTGACTTTGTATCCTACTACATTACTGAATTTGGATACTAATTCTAGGAGTCTTGGTGGAAGTTTTTGGGTCTTCCATGTAGAGAATCATGTCATCTGCAGATAATGATAAACTGACTTCTTCCTTTCCTATACATATTCCTGTTGATTCTTTCTCTTTCCTGATTTCTCTGGCTAATGTTCTGAGAACTGTATCAAACAGTAGTGGTGATGGCAGTTGACCTTCTTTTGCTCTTGATTATAGAATGAAAGCTTTCAATTTCTTCTCATTTAATATGATGCCGGCTGTTGATTTGTCACTTATGTTTTTTATCAGATTGAGATAAAGACTTTTCTATACCTATTTTCTTCAGGGTTTTTAATCACATTTATCAAAGGCTTTTTCTCTGTCAACTGTGATAATGCGATTTTTGTCCTTGCGTCTGTTTGTGTGGTGCATTACATGTGTTGATTTGTGTATGCTGGTCATCTCTGCCTCCCTGGGATGAATCCTACTTGGTCTTTTAGATGGTTTGTGGCACCTGTATCTTATTGAGGGTTTTTGCATCAATATTCATTTAAAGGACTACCTTTTTTTGTTTTCCTTTTTTGTTGACTGTTTTTTTCTGGTTTTGGCATCAGGGTGATGCTAGCTTCCAAGAGTGACTTTGGGAACATTCCTCCCATTTCCTTTCATTAAAGAGTTTGAGGAGTATTTTATCAGATCTTTCCTAACGTTCTTGAAGAATTGGGGAGTGAATCTATCTATATCTGTACTTTTCTTAGTTGGTAGCTTATTATTACTTCTTCAATCTCTTTGCCTGATAATATTGGATTATTCAATATTTTCATGTCTTCTTGGTTCAGCTTTGGTAACTTATATATATCTAGGAATCTATTACAAATTCTCCATTTTATTAGAGTACAGGTTCTCAAAGTACAATAACACCCTGGTTCATGAAACGCTTCTGTTTGGTTCACAAACAAATGCATTTGGCAAAATTTTGCTTCCATTCAAAAACTCCACACGGGGTGACAAACACAACAATGGCCATATTCCCCACACAAACACAAATGCAGCCATCTTCCCCAAAGTCAGAAAACAAATTAAGTTTGTAATTGAGGTACCACAGTACTGACTAATAATCTTGATTTTGGTTGAGTCTGTTGTATATTAACTTTTCCATTTCTAATTGCATTTAGTTGGTCTTTCCTTTTTTGTGGGGGGAACGTTGGCTATGGCAGTAGTGGTGAACCTATGGCACACATGCTGCAGAAGGCTGTATCGTTGAATGCTCCAAAGGTTTGCCATCACTGCAGTGCACTGTACTACTGTACACTATCACACTGTACCATAAACACACAGCAACACAACTTCTGGCAGATACTGAAACTACTTCTGCAGTTTGTTCGCATCTAGGAACCTTCATAATGCAAAGTCTGTTCATTATCTATGACAGTTTGCAACTTGAATGTTCATAAGTCAAGAATGTACTGTTTTTGTGCTTGCTCTGTTTTTCTGATGTGGGCATTCACAGCTATAAACTGGTTGCTTAAGATCACTTTCATTGTGTGCCATAGGTTCTGATATGTAGTACTGCCATTATTGTTTGAGTCTAGAAACTGTCTAATTACTTCTGTGACTCACTGATTATGCAAGAGAATGTAGTTTAATTTCCATTTGTTTGCATAATTTTCATGGCTTCTTTCTTCATTGATTTCTAGTTTCATTGCAGTGTGCTTTGATAATATGCATGGGATAACTTTTATTGTTTGTATTTACTTAAGCACGCTGTATAGTCTAGCAGTGTTGGCACTTT